GATTAGAAAGAATGGGATCAAAGCCGTGAGTGTAGGAATGAGAATTAGTCCCTCACAAAACTCAAAGGATGTGCTCGTACACAAAGATGAAACAGTAATGGTTTTTAAGAGTAGTTGTGGAACAGAAAGCAAGCCAACGTTCCCTCCTGGTACTGAGGGACGTGGGGGGTGGAGAGCAGCTTCAAATATCGAGTAAAACTCTGTATTCTGACACTGAAAAATATGTACTCCGCTTTCTTTGGCTACCCCATTGCCTGACAACAGTTCCTGGCCATGCTGCCCATGTTCTAGAATATATAACTCCTCAGTGGTTTCTGGGAGCACTTGGATCCTGGGAAATAAATTTGATTACATAGGGCAAGCTTGGCCCTTCATTTTTACCTTGACTTTGAATATAAGTAAAAATCTGTAAAAGTAACTTCTCATTTTTTCTCCTTCACTTAACAAATATGAGAGCTTCTTGTGTGTCATACAGCCAGCTCCCTCATTCCACTTTCTATTTTTTTTCATAGTTTCTGTGAAGTTGCTGATGAGTTCCGACTCTAATCTGTTCTCCTGAGCAAAGTCTGCAGAGATTTAGGCTACGGGCATCTCAAGTCTAAGTAGGTGCAGGATCTACTCTCTTATTCAGAAATGAAATCTTTTAAGGTGCTTGTTTCCTTTTTCCTCCAGCACCAATGGAGGCTATAATTAATGAGAAACACACACAAGCGCACGTGCGCGCACACAAACACGTTTTGAGTAGGGCCAATACAATTCTGGGAACTTGGGAGAATCACAATTTGAGAGTCAAGGAAGGGCCTTAGAGGACTATCTTATGAAGAAACACAGCTCTTTCATTTTTAGAGATGAAAAAGTTAAAGCCTCAAGTAAACAATAAAAGCACAAAGCTACTAAAAAGGAGAGCTGGAGCTAGTTATCTTCTGACTCCGAGACCTTTCTGGCATGAGACACTGCTCACCAGATAAAGCTGGGCTAATGGACTCAAATTTCACAACTGCAAACAGGCATTTCTGAGGGAATGAGAAGTTTACATTTATCTTCCTAAGTGAGCTAGAATATAACAGCAATATTTCCATTTCAAGTGCTTGTTTTCAGAGCACTTAAAGTAGGCAAATACGGAGTGGCAAGGATTATCAAAACTCAACACGACAATGGGAGGAACCGGTGCACTTTCATGTCTGATTGTTTCTTTTAGTGAACTAGTGCTCTGATCTTCTAAGGAGTTTCCAAGCTAGGGGTATGTCATGCCTAAAGATGGGAACTAAGATAGCTACAACTCTAGGTGCTTATAAACTGGTACTCCAAGTTTAGTACTTGCAAGACCAGATTCTTGACATTTAGGGGGCTGTAACACACCATTCTCACATCTAACTTTCTTCTGTGGTCAGGGTGCCAAAGCTGGAAGAGATCATTTTGGCTAATTCTGCAATTTAGAAGAAGGAACTGTGATGCAGAGATTAAGTTGTTGTTCATGGTTTTAGAAAAACAAAAGCAATTTGAGCAATTTACTCACTGATGATCTCTTGCTGGTTGATTCTGTTCTACTCATGTCCCCTCCCTGGTATTATACCAACAAATCCCAGTTACTTCCACTGCTACTTCTCTCTCATTTCAATGATAAATAATCTACCTGGGAGCCTAGATCCTTCCTGGATCTTATCTTTACCATTTCATTTAGGATTGTGTGTTGTTACAGAACCTTGACTTGGAGGAAAGGTAATTTTGCCATTTTCATGGCTATCAAGAAGCCTGACTGGTAACAGAGGAAAACACAATTTTCAGAAGTAGTATTTCAGATAAAACAGCCTCACAGAACAATCAGCGACATTTACAGGACTTCATTCATTTAAACCAAATGGTTATGTTTAGCTTAATAGGTTTCTGTTAAAAGCTCCACTATAGTCATAGTACAAAGACCTGACATTCTTTAAGATACATTACCCACAACATTTACAACATATTCTATAACTTCCACACTGGGTGCTAGTCTATTATAAGGAAACAAAACAAAACAAAGCAAAGAACATTACTGCAGCACACTGACAATGAGCCTATTCTAATTAATATGTCATCATTCAATTAGCCTAGACTTTTTATTAAAACAGCATATAATCAAGTGCATCATCTTAGACAATATCCACATTTTATACACTTATCCTATTGTTGAAACATAATAGCACTAAGCAGACAATTGAAACCATTTACATGAGGAGGGAGCACTTCATCTTACTAAGGAGGGGGCTGAAACCCAGATGAAAGGACTTTAGCCCAGAGCTCACCAGCTTTTGTCTACAGCTGCGACTAGCCCTAAATCTGAGCTATTGTTGATCACAATTCCTCCCTAATTACACCTTTGTAATACAGTAAAACCTCCATATAATGGACTTATTCTGGCAAGGGGTTGTCCATTAAAGCCAAAAGTCCGTTATACAGTGGTACCCCAGTTTTGAACATTTCAGTTTATGAACGCTGTAAACCCGGCAGTAAATGCTTCGGTTTTGGAACATGCCTCGGAAGTCAAACATGTCATGTGGCTTCCACTGAGGGCAAGATCCTGAGGCCCAGCTGTCAGCTGTTGATCCTTGGGTTTTCGAACGTTTCAGAACTCGGTCTTCCGGAACGGATCACATTAAAAAACCGAGGTACTGCTGTATAATAAAGTAGGTTTTCCTAATGGGTAGATTAAAAAATTGACAAATTAGTTTACCTGTTTTTACTTATGTAGACGTGTAATTAAAATTAAGCATGTATGAAAAGTTTAATTTCACAGAAAAGTTTTCTGTATGTATTACTGTAATTTTAAATTTATGCTGAATAGGTCTAGTAAATGCATACATTCACCAGTCACTTTGAGGAAACAAATGCACATGGCCAGGACGTGGCTTAGCGAAGTCAGAACACGAACATTGGTTAAAATTGCTGCAGAAAATCACACCTCGCAAAAACAGAACCAATTACTGAGGTGTGATCACATGCTAATCACTCGCCCAACATTGTTTTCAAGGAGTGACTCTGGGATTTAAATATGTAGACTATAGTTGTAATATTTATGTTGGTGAGATTACTAGTGTTTTTTCCAACATATGGCCTATTTGCTAAAATTTGTTAATAAGTGAATTAGTAACAAAAAATAACCTGTTAATTTAAGTATAAGCAAATCTTGGTTAAAAGCATTTTAAAATTAACAGTGTTAATTTTCACATGACATATGGGGACAGAAGTTTTGTCTGTTAATCTGAAGTCCATTAAATGGAGATTTGCAAAATCGAGGGTTTACTGTACTAACTAGCTGTCTTAAGTGACTGGGAGACAATGTGCTACTCTAGAAAGCACAGGATTTGGGATTTGTCAAAGGGGGGTGTCTCAGCCTCACTTCTTGAGAGCCCCGTTATCAAGGCACGACTTGCTCTCTCTGGAGCCAATTTCCTCATTTGTCAAATTGGGGTAAGTACCTGACACATGGAGTTGTTGTAGAGTGCCATGTGTGTGAAATGCATGACACATAGTAGGCGATCACGTGGCCCATTCCCCAGTGAGGTTGAATGTGTATCTGCTGAAGTCTAGGCTCACTAGTGAGTACCAAGTAATGGGTTCATGCCTCGATAGGTTAATTAGATAAATGAGGAGAATGGAAGGTAAGTAATCTATGGGTCCACTTACTATGATGGGACCAGTTTTCTGTAGAAAAAGAACTGAGGGCAGCATTACAGATCTTCAGGATCCAGGTTTTCATCATAATTATCTTTAGAAATTTTTTGTATTGGAGGAGTAATAATTTTCCCCCACAAGGTTACCATGTTTTAGTATAAGAGTGATCAATTCTTTATCTGCTTTTGGTATCAGGGAAATTCTGGACTCATAGAATGGGTATGGGAGGACTCCCTCCTCTTCAGTTTTGTTTCTTCCTGATTCAATCTTGAAGGATTTTATGTTTCTAGGAGTTTATCCATTTCTTCCAGATTGCCCAAAATGTTGGTGTATAACTGCTTGTAGTATTTTTCTATAATCCTTTGTATTTCTGTGGTACTGGCTGTTACTTTGCTTTCATTTTATTAATTTTTCTTTATGATTCTGGCTATAGGTTTATCAATTTTATTTTTCAAAGAACCAGGTATTAGTTTCACTGATCTTTTCTATTTTTTGTCTTTATTTATTTCTGCTCTGATCTTTATTATTTCCTTCCTTCTACTCAGTTTGGGCTTTTTGTTGTTCTGGTTTCTTCAGTGTACGGTGAGATTGTTTATTTGACATTTCTCTTGTTTCTTGAGGGAGACATACTGCTATGAATTTCCCTCTTAGAACTGCTTTTGCTGTGTCCTACAGATTTTGGTCGCTGTGTTTCTATTTTCATTTGGCGTTTCTTTTGATTTCCTCCTTGATTTCATTAACCCACTGATTATTTATTAACATACTGCATGTTCAGTACAAGCATACCTCGTTTTATTGCACTTCAGATGTATTTTTTACAAATTGAAGACAAGACCCTCTACCAGCAAAAAGGTTATTACCTGCTTTACTGTGATACTCATTTTATTGCTGTGGTGTGGAACTGAACCTGCAATATCTACAAGGTATGCCCATATTCACAGACATAACACTGGCAGAGTAATACCAGTAATTCTTACCTTCCAAGGTTGTCATGAAAATTATATTTAAAAGTATGGTGGATAATCCCTTACCTGAAAGGCTTGGGGACAGATGATTTGAATTTAGAATTTTTCAGATTTTAGGCAACCCATATAATTATATAATAAACTCAATGGGGTCTGTGCAATACTATATAATCAAATCATTTCTCTAAATTTCTCAAACAAAACCAATTCATCTCTCTCAGAGAGATGAATCAGCACTACAAACCTCATACCAGTTCAGATCATATTTGGCCCAAATGAATTTGGGCCAAAACAATAATATCAACAACAAAAAATAAATAAAAATGAGAAGATGTCTATCTAAATGAAGCCAGCAACTAGAACCTATGATGCAAATATAACTTCATGTTACCAGTTACTTAAAAAGTAAAGCCTGTTAATATTTATTTTAAAAACAGAAATAACATTAAAATAGGTTTTTGGAATATCAACATACAATAAAAAAAAGTGCGAGAACCCTCCCCCATCTCCAAATTTTAAAGAGCAGTTATCCAGCTATAGTCGACTTTCCTGAATTTTCTCAGTTCCTTTTCTTCACGTTTTGACAACTGATGTATAATGTCTTCTCCCAAATCTGTGTTATTTGTAGTCTGGACCTTTTCAGTGAAATCATTTTCTTCATCGGAGTTGTCACTTTCTTTTTCTTCTTCCATATCCACATCATCAGGAATTTCTTCAGCACTTTTAACAATAAGAGAATAAAATATAAACATACTATTTAAATATATATATTTCTAAAAATAACTTTCTAATTTAAGATATCCACATAGAAATATAATCATATAGACAAAGTAAATGAAAAATCTTGTTACTGTATGTAGTTAAAAATTATGGGCTATTATGTGAATTTATAAAAGTAATTTTGAATTACATATCAAATCCTTAAAACCTAGACACAATTTCTTTTCTAACACTTATTTTCAATGCATTTTATTTACTCGACTTAATAATCCATGTCCTTTTAACTACATGTTAAATCTAAAATAAAGATAAATACAGTGGAAGAATATTCTAATAAAGGATAACAAAAACCACCATTTCCCAAGACAGGATATCTAAACTTATTTTAAGAACTGCATTACCTCTTAGTCTCCTTAGACAGCAGCAATGAATTTATAAACATGGAGCACAGGAAAGAAGCAGATGGTAGTACATGGGCTGGAGTGTGAAGAAGCTAGAGTAAAAACAGAAAAACAGGGTTTCACCTAAAAAGATTAAATGCCAAAGCCGAACACCACAGGTTTTCCCCACAGAAAAACCTAACCAAAGAAAAATTAATTCCTACCTTCCTACATTTACATAAACAACCCCTTCCATCACCTAAAATAATGTGAAATCTTAAGTTTATGCTATTAATATTTGTATTAAGGCTGCATAGTATACAAATAATCATTCAAGTTATTTGTTACAGACTGATTGTATAAAACGTCTAACTTAAGGCATTTTAGAGTGCATTTAATCTGTTCCACGTTGTTTGCTTTAATAACCACTTACCTCATTAATGGCAAGTATGTTTTCCGTTAAGGGCAGCTGTACCAGTTCATTCTCCAAAGCTTCATTTAATTTTTCATCCTGTTGTTGCCTGTGCTTTCCCAGTATGAAGTAAAATGGGGTTGTTGGAAGACTTTCTTCTGCTAGTAGCTGTAAGGATTTAAGACAAAGGGAAATTACTTCAAAAAAAAAAAAAGCTGCCTTGGACTCAGTAATAAGTACTATAGAGCCATAAAAGGTCAGGGACGGAAGAACTTTAGAACTTCCTAGTATGTCTTTCATTTTATAGGTAAAGCAACTAAGGCCCAGCAGCCCAATTACTATGCGAAAAGCTAACAGTGGACACTTAGATGACAGAACAAAACACTCACTGCTTTTTCCCAAATCCTACAAAAATGACAGCAAAGCGCTTTTCAGAAGGGCACAGACCCAGTGAACAGGTGAAATGGTAACATGTTACAAGCAGGACAGCAGGTTGAAGGGTGGTAAGTAACTTATTAGAGAAAGCAAAGCTCTAAGCTGGCTATGGGGAGAGCCAAGAAGCACCTTGACTTATACGGCAGAATTCTGTAAATGCTGAGGAATTGGTACTAATAGATATAGTACCTCTGTAAAGGGCTAAAAAACCCCCCAGGTAGTCTGGCTATAAGGCTATTTAGGAAGCACTTAGATTCACAGCTCTCCTCAGCCTCAGCAGAGGACTGGAAGTATATTCTTTGAAGGCTGAAGCAAAGGTGTGTCTTTAGACTGGACTGCTTGGTGGCGGTGGGGGTAGTGTCTTCACAGCTGGAGGCAGTTGCACATTGTAGAGGGTGCTTCTCAGAACACTGGCAGCCAGGCTGACATCCTTCACGTAAGAACTTAGAAGTTTATCTAGGCAATCTGACCAGCCTAAGAGTAAAAGACCTAAAAACAATGACACTGGAAATTTTCTCAAAATACCTCAGCAGAGGCCAGAGACTAAGTTTCACTTAGGCAGAGAACTTCCAAACGGCTGTTATGCTCATGCTCCCTTAAATAAAAGCAGACAGCCAAGGATCATGAGAGACTGAGGAAAACCTACCAAAACGAACATAGTCCAAAATAGAAAAAACAAAAACAACAACCTGCTGGAATGAACTATGCAAGAGAAAAAGAGAAAGAAAGTACATTAGATAATGAAAAGGAGGAAATCTCCTAGAAAACAAAAAAAAAAGCCAAAAAAACAAACAGGAGAAAAAAATAAGAATATTTGAGTACCTAGTCTAGAAGGTCCAACACTAAATAAGAGGAGCTCTAGAAAAGAGAAAATGAAGGCAAAGAAGTAATTAATTTTTCCTTTGTTCTCTAAAACCCTTCAAGAGGCTCCACATTTCCTGAGGAAAAGCTAGTCTCTTCATTAGGCTGACTTTCACTACCCTATTTGAAATGGAAATAAGTACTCCATTCTCCCTTTTCCTTATTCCAACCCTCATAATTCTTATCACTTGAAATACTACATATTAACTTATTTCATGCTTCTATTTATTGTATCTTCCTGTTAAACTGTAAAGACCGTAAGTTTAGAGACTTGCTTGCTGACATAACTCAAACATCTAGACACAGCAGATGATCAACAAAAAGTTGCTGAATGAATTCAATGAGTAAAGAATCAAGAATAAGAATAGTACTGGGCTTCTAGTAACAGTGGAAACTATAACATAAAAGGAACATACCTTCAAAGTTCTAAGAGAAAATGGTTTCAACCTAGAACTCTATATCCAACCAATCAGGCAGGAGAAAAGAAAAACTTTTTCAAATTTGGAAGGTCTTACATTTACCTCTCCTGTCCCAATAGAATGTGCTTCACCAAAGCAAGGGCATGACTAAAGGGAGAAACTAGGGGTTCTATTACAGTAGAGGTGAAACAAACCTCCTCAATGATGATGACTGCAGACTCAAGATTACTGTGCACCAGGTTTATAGGGCAATTAGTCCAGATTGAAGGTCAGAAGACTCTTAAAAATATTTCTTCAAGACTTGAAAGAGTACCTAATGTGTCTGAAAATAATGAGAAGACTTGCACAACTAGAATAGAGTCTGGGATGAATTAGGTGAGAAGTAAATAGAAACTAAGCAAATAAAGGAATCAGACAATTACTAACTCTAGTGAAAAAACTTAGTCACAAAGGTAAAAACAATCTGTGTATTACTACAAGGCTGGCCTATGAATTGTGTTTACTTGGTTATAATGATGAATACGGACTTGACCAATTTTAAGATTTATCTGTATTGGGAAACTGGGAGGAAGGAAAGGTGTGTGTACATGTGTGTTGAGAGAGGTACAGGTTTGGGGAGTGGTGGTATGAAAAAGAGCTATAAACTTCAATTTCAACAGATCAAAGTCAACAGATAATACCTAAATCTGAAAAATCCAGAATTACCAATGTTTCTCAAAAAAATCCAGAAAACATGTTTCTCAAAGATATGGAGCTAATCTCGGTAATGGCAGTGGTGTTGAAAAGGTTTTTTCTGCAAAGTCTAATAGAACTACTTGACGGGTTAAATCACAAGCATATATTACAGATATTACAAACTAAAACCGTATTTTCAAAGAACAATATAACTTCAAAAGAGGCAAGTTTATAAGTATGGTTTCTAATTCCGTTTTAGGGCCAGGTAAAACATTTTTTTCTCACAGTTCAGTTCTAAAAGATAACCTTATCTTTGTAGGGAAGCAATGCAGTCTGTACCAAGAGTGGCTAAAACATACCTGCTTGCTTGTTGGTGTGAGTTTCTCTTCTGGAGACTTTGTGCTGAATGTCAATAAACTCTGAAAAGAGAGATCAATTAATGACGCAAAAGATAAATTGTAGAGTGCAAATCTAAGATGTTAACACTAGAAAATGAGGTCAGCCTTTTGTTTTGATATATAAACATCTACTTAAAGAGCCTTAAAGGTGTAATTAAAGTGGTGCTCATGCCCGGCCAGAGTGGCTCAGTGGTTGAGCGTCAACCTATGAACCAGGAGGAGGTCGGGGTTCCAGTCAGAGCACATGCCTGGGTTTCAGGCTCAATCCCCAGTAGGGGGTGTGCAGGAAGGAGGCAGCTCATGAATGACATTCTCTCTCATCACTGATGTTTTTCTCTCTCTCTCCCTCTCCCTTCCTCTCTGAAATCAATAAAAAACATATTTAAACTGATGCTCATACACACACACACACACACACACGTAATACTGCTGTACTGAACACATTAGACAATTTATTTTGGAAAGTAATCCTTTAGTAAAACTATTTCACCTGTCATGGGCTATTACTCTCAAATATCAAAGCAACTCACAATTACATATACAAAGTGATTGCTTTCTTTGAGGAAGGATGGTTACCTGTGATTTTGTTAGGAAGTAAAACTGTGATCTGTTCAGCCACTGGTGAGCTTCTGAGGTGAATGATTCAGGGACATCTCGTGGAACAAACACTCCCCACTTGACTTCCTCTCTACAGATACTCTTTTGAATATACAATGGCCTTGGCTCACTAGGTTTAAATACAAACACTAGAGGGAAAAAACAGACAGACAATAACATTTTGCATGCAACAGTTAGTTCTAGCCTCAGACTGGCAGACCACACTAATCCCACTGAGTAAATAAGCCAGGTCATGATTATTTTAGGCTCTGATTCAACAAATACCTACTAGGTGCCTACTATGTGCCAAGCAGGTTGGGAATGAGGACCACGAAGATGAAAAAGAGAAGGAACCCCGTCTCTAGAGAGTAGAGCCTAATGCAGAGGACAGACACCAATATATCAACGTGGTATTTTGTCTAAGTACTAGTACAGAGATATGTAGAAAATGCTTCAAGATCATAGAGGAGGAATAATTAAAGCTTCTCAGGGAAATTAGGAATGCTTCAGAGAGGGGAAATCTCTTAGATTTTGAAGAATGAGTCAGAAATGGGATGTTGAAAAATAAGGAATATACTGAAGCTCTCCTAGAACCAAGAGCGAATGCCTAAATAACTAGGTGTGGGGAAAAGAACTCAAGAAAGAAAGGGCAGTGCCTCAGGCAAAGCGGCTTCAAACATCTGATCTGAAGGCAAGTTTGACGGAAATTATATTAAAGATGTTAAAAGAAAACTTAGGTTACAGATCTCTTACTATCAAAGTATGGTCTGTACTTACAGTCTGAACCCACCGAAGACCGTGAAACTGCAGCAACATTCTCTGAATTAGGATCAGGCTCCATCACTGTAATATTTAATTTTGTACTCCATTCCACTAGGGAAAAAGAAAAAGCAATTCAACCAAAAGCTTTTTCAAAGCCTGTAATTTAAAGTAGGTAATCTTAATCTTTACTGGGACAATCAATTCTACCGTCCTTAGGAAGAGGGATTTTACACGTCCAAATATACATGCAGACACACTGAAATTATCTGTGGGGGGCTGCACTAAAGAGAGGGCAGGAAGCAGAAGAACCAAGTATTCCTTCCACACACTATGAAATTGGTATCATTTCGTACAACTACTGTCAGGTGCTTTGCTGCTGCTACTAAACATGAGCAAAATGTTAGCAGAGTCACTGTGGAAAATATGTCATCACATACATTAATTACTACACAACCACCATGCATTCCAAACATGTGTTCAAATGAGTAAAATGCCACTAAGTCCACATTTGTTTGGAGGGTTGAGGCAGGCTACGTTCAAATTTAAAGCTGTCAGGTCAGGGATACTGCAAGTTAATATGCACTATGAATTAGCGAAATGTTTCTCAAATTGATAGGGTGGAGACTATGGAGGGCAGCAGAGTGTCACACACAATGAAGACACTGGAAAAGGGTGAGGATAATGAAGTCTATTTACTGACAATAAGGCTGTTTATAAATAAGCCAAGTCTACTGCAGGCCTAGTTTTCCAAATTCTAGTGGTATAATGTACCATTTAAAAAATTTTATACTCTCTAGGTAGAGACATGAAGATATATAATCCAGAAGTCCTAAAATGCCAAAGTTTAATGGCCACTTCCTACTTGCTTTGCCAAGTCACTTTATAGTAAAAAATATCTTACATGCACAACTAAGCAGATTCCAGCAGCAAAGAATTCCATTTTCAGTTGCACCAAGAAGATACTTTGAACAAGTCAGTCTCCCAAAGCAAAGGTGCCTAGATTAAAAACACAGGGAAGTTAAGTCAGTTCCACCATACTTTGTTACAAAGAATTGCAGACTTCCCACAGTACTAGTTTCATGCAAAGCTGATTTTTAGAGAGACACATGCTTTTGTTCATAATTATCCTGCAGAAAAAGGGACTTAGTACAAAAGGAAAGATTTATACTGTTTCTTTAGAAAAACAGGTTTGATGACCAATTCTTTTCTCCAATATACTGCGTAGGTATAATAACAAAGACATACAGAAAGTGTATGCAAATTGTATATAGTTATTTTACAAAACCCCCTTTTTATGCTCATTTACATAAGAGTTTGCAATATGAATTCTAAAGAAAGTTTTTACAAAGTAAATTCAGAATCAGACATGTTGGGAATTAGGACCAATTTCATTAGCTGTCTGCCATTCTGTCCTCAAAAGCTGTCACATGAAGTAAAATGGAAGATCCTGCTGAGATAAGCATTGTTTGGATCCACTGAGGCTTAAGAATAGCTTCTATTATTATGCAGCACAACCATGAAAAGTATTATAAAGTTTTACAAAGAAAAACAATCAGTAAGCCTAGAATTAAATGTTATTTCAGAAATGGGTAAATCATAGCACATGGTTCATATGCAAAGAATTTTTAGCTTCCCATCAATCTGGTTAGCTGCTGGCCCCACTGACCCAAGTCTACCTTTAGAGAGAGCATAAATTATCACTGAAGTTTATGTAGAAAGACATGTTTAAATTTAAGACAAAATAGTACTTCAAATTCCCTAAAGTATTCACTTACCTTATATTCCCAGCTCGTTGACAAAATGTACATTTAAGTTCCCATGTCTCTGAATCCCATATTGTAATAATTTCCTCAAAACTAACTGCTAGTAAAGAGCCATCTTCAGAGAAACAACAGTTGGTTGCTTGGTATTTGTGATAACTACCCACAAAGTCACAGGTCCAGCCAACAGCTTTTTCTGTGGAAATATAGACCATAGAGTTCAGAAATGGTAAATGCTAGAGAACATCTTAGGTAAGTTTTAAGCAGTAAGAATTAAGAAACAAACAAACACAACAGAAAACCTGCTCCCCCAAACTTTAGTTTGAAGTGCTACAAAGCACTGACTGATTTGAAATTTATGTCCTTTCATGGAGACCTTGACCTCCCTCTAGTGGAGTATTGAAAAGACTAAACATAAAAGCCCTTTTTACTGCACCCTGGCAAACTGGAATAATCAGCACATGATTAATCAAGTATGTCATTAAAAAAAAGCATAGATTCAGAGAAAAGGCATGTAATAATACAGTATCTTAAATCTTTTAAAATTAGGCAATATCCTACAGAATTAAACAAGGTAGAAAATGCCCTCCCAGAATGGATACAATTCATGAGATAATGTATCAATTCTTAAAAATGTGTGCCCTTTAGATATACTCTAATTAACTTACTGTATATATCAGAATCATCTGTTAATATCCACACTTTGAAGTGACCATCTTTACTAGCTGTAACCAAGGTGGGGTTTTCAGATCTTTCTGCATTACAGAAACAGAGAGCTGTGATGTGGTCTTCATGTGGCATGTTAACCTTTGTATTAAGAACAAACCTAGTAGGAAGGAAACCACCAATTTATTCTTCCAGGACAATATGATACACTGTCACATAAAAATTTCTTACATATTGTACACTTTACAATAGCATCTCTAAGAAGGGGCAATGGGTACATTAGCATCTAGAATGACAAACAGTTGAGTGCTGTCTCTAACGACTCTGTGTCAGAGTCCCAACACATTTCTCTGTCCTTGTATAAGTTACATAATATAGAGATGATTATGTATAATGTCGACTTAATGGTACAAAATGAGTATAAAATAGGGGTCATAAAAAAAAGTACCTGAAAGCTTATTGTACTCAACTCTACAGAAAAATTGTATAGAACATAAATGCCTCACTATCTGCTTTTGAAAATAAACAAAGAGTGGAATGACTATAAAAGATCCTACTGTGGTAAGAAAATACAGAAAGAAAACTATCTATTAAAACTGCACCGGTCAATATTTAATATTTATAATCACCCAAACTACCTTTCAAAGCCTGTTTCCAGTCACGACTATGAATGAAAGATAAACTATGCTAGCACTGTGTTCTCTGGAGAACATCAGGGCAAAATAGTGTTGCAGTTTTTAAAAAGTTCAGGTTAGCCCGGCCGGGCATGGCTCAGTGCTTAAGTGTCGACCTTGGATCTAGGCGATCGGGGTTCGATTCCCCGTCAGGGCACATGCCCGGGTTGTGGGCTTGATCAATGACTCTCTCATCATTGATGTTTCTGTCTCTCTCTCTCCCTCTCCTTTCCTCTCTCTGAAATCAATGAAGATACATTTAAAAAAAAAAAATTCAGGTTATAAGAGGGCTAACTACGGACAACCAATTAATCCCTCTGGGCCTGTTTTCTCACCTGTGAAATATGGACACCAGGCTTATCTTAGTGTTCTTGTGAAGACTAGTAAGACAATGGGTACAAAAGCACGAAGCCTAGTTCTTAACACATAGCAAGGACTTGATAAATGGCCATTATAGCCACGGTATGAGAAACTGGTGGGCTCCTTATCTAATCAAAACATACATACCCTACAACTCTGCGTCTATCACTACTATTTTTCCAAAGGAGGTAATATAATGTTAATAAGAGAGCAAAGGAACTAATAAGACATTTAGATTCTAATCCTGGATTTGCCTGGAATTAGGTATATGTCCTTGGGGGTGTCACTTTCCCATGTTTTCTCATTTATGCAATGAGATGACATTATGACTTGGAGGACACCTGTGCTTTCTCAGAGCAGAAAGCTTAATGGCTTTACTGGAAGAATAATACCTCCTTTGTTACTCAATCTAAACTTATCAAAATAAAACATCTTAAAAACCAAGAACTGAAACCATAAAATAGAAAGTAACATATTTTCTACATTGAAATTATATAGCTACATAAGTAGTATTACCCTTGTGTTTTCTTATTATATGTCCACAGTTTCATTTGCAATTCAAGCTCATTTTCCTTTTCTTGCCGTTGTTCCACTGTTGCAAGCCAGTTACCAAAGCAGCCAAATGCAGCCTTTGTCAGTTCAATTTGGATCAGACCATAATCATTGATATATTCTTGCTGCACAATATCTAACTGATGGGTTAAAAAAAAGCCAAAATGCTTATTAATGTAAATACATATATGTTAAAGCATTCAAGGAACGGTAATTAACCACATGACACATAACTTCTAAAATCTATAGTAACAGACTTTTAGAAAAAGGGAAAAATAAACTGTTAGGCATTAAAAAACTGCAGTGCATTCTACAGTACCAATTCAGCGGTGATTATTCTTCAATGTCCTTGAATATCAGTGATAACTATGACCCATTTATATGATACAACAGGACCTTTAGCTTACAGTAATACTTTTCACTTGTTTCTAAGAACAAATAGCTTTACATAAAACCTCAAGAGTTAATGCCACATCACTAGAAACACAAGCAAAAATAAAACCTTTAATTTTTAAGCAGTGAAAAAAGATAAAAATACTGTTAGCAGGCCAGCATTTTAATCATGGTTGTTTCTTTTAGCCCATTTCCTTGTCTATTTATTAAGCATGTATTAAGTATCTCCTATTTCCAGGCATTGCAGTAGAAATGTGCAAAGATCAATAGTTTCCTTTCTTTGAGGGGTTTAAAGCATTCAAGAGAGAGGTAAAGTGTTACAGCTCCTATGATAGAAATCTGTAAAGGGTACTGTGGGGAACAAAGGAAAAAGTGGGAAGTCTGGGTTGCATTTAGTTATAGGAAGCATTCCCCCTTCTTGTGCACATGACACTGTTTCACCACAAAGCAGAGGCATATTTGTACTGTCAAGCTACATGCTCTCATTTCCGATCCTTATGACTCTAAGGCACAGGTGTGTGTGACAGCTAATTAGAGTGTAGTCTGAAAAAAATAAAATAGAGAGAGGCTGCACAAGAGTGCCAACTGGCTTACATATAGACTTAATCTGCAACCATGGCTATGAGAATCATGCTGTAAATAACTGACAGTGCTGACTGTGCTCAAGTACACAGGCACAGGACCTTGTTTTAGAAGCTACTAAATAAGTTACAAACCCTGTTGGTGCTGTAAAGAGTTTTCATTAGTTTTAAGGCTAGTTATTGGATCAAAATCTTACATTGTATAATTGCTTATCACTTTGGAGAGAATAAAACTGCAAATGGCCAGGTTTTCCGTTCAAAACCAAAGCTTTAGTTCTTGGATCAATCATCAAACCAGTCAAGATACTGCTGTCTGCAAAAAAGTGTCATATAACAGGAGAAATCAGACAAATATCCACTTTTAAAATGTACACAATTCCAAATCCAATGTGTGCTGCAGTACCTTTCACTAGGCCTTGAATTACTGCGGATGCCTCAAGGTTTCGGTGAATGACTATTATCTCTGTGGGTAAAAAAATATTTAAATATAAATAGGTCAGAATTTAAAGTTAGAAAAAATTAATTGAATTTATATTTTTCTGAAATATATCAGAATACAAAACAATTGAGTATGTTCAATTTAGCTGGAGTGCTACTACAAAATCATGTGATTTAACTGAATGGAGAGCTTTTCTGTTAGAGACTCTAAGTTTTATCAGTTGTGCCTATGAATACATTTTAGGTGTTAATTCAGAAACTTATATATTTTGAAAGAGACAATTTACTTTGAAATGAGTCACTGAACTAATGAACGAATTGCTCACAGTTATGTTCTGTTTTGAAGGGAAAGGGGGCAATAGGCTATGGGATCTACGTCTAGGCTGAGTGGTAACAGGATGAGTAAAAGTTTTAGAGGAACACAGGCTGCCTCCATTTCTGTGAGAAGAGAACTCCTACATTGACTTACTGGCTATCTCAAAGGAGAATCTCAGTGTTCTTTCAAAAATGCCATTATATCTATGAAAGCACAAATGCCCACTTCAAAACCCTTCTTTTACTACCCCATATCACTCATTCCACATGAAAAGGTTCTTAAATATAAGTGGCACAACAAAAAACAAATACACTTAGCCCTACATTTTCATAACAATTCTGAAACTACTGGATTCTGGTGGCATCTTGGGCCATGAAGGGGTGATAAAAAGATGAGGAATGAAAGAAGAAAATGCTCATTAAATCCAATGCTACTCTTAATCAGTTTGAGGTTTTCCATTCCTTACAGATGCTAGGTAATTAAGCCATTACACAAGTTGTATTTCCTCACAATAATGAATTTAGACTTACTATTATCAGAGTGAGAAGTACAGAACAGATCCCCTGCTGGAGAGACTGCGATATGTTCAATAGTAGCTCCTAAACGGGGTAGGAACTCTTTGCTCTTCTCTGTTGCATCACGCCACTCAACGAGGACAGATTCTCGACCGCCACTCAGCAGACTGGTGCCTTCTCACCCAGCCACAAAATGAAAAGGACAGTGTTTTGGGAGAAAAAAAAGAAAAATATATTCAGCTTTTTACTTTTTCTGACCATGTTAGAGAAATGCAAACAAGTACATTCATATCTTTTAATATACTCTTGAGACAAAAGATTTAAAGATCACTGATTCAGGGATTTTCCTTTCTAGAAATATCTGACTAGTTTGCTGCTGATCAACTCTTCCCTGATGACAAGAAAAACTGAATGAAACAAACATCCTCTAAGCCCAGATGGCTTCGCTGGTGAGTTTTTCCAAATATTTACGGAAAAAATAAACCAATTTTCACTCTTTCAGGAAACAAAAAAAAGAGAACACTTTCCAATTTGTTTCACAAGACCATCATAATCCTATACCAAAACAAGTACATCGTAAAAAAATTCCAAGCCAATTTCATGACAGAGGAAAATTCCCAAACAAAACATGATTAGCGAGCTGGATCCAGTCATATATTAAAAGGTAAGCTGTTGCAGAGGAATGAGATTGTTTTAACATCTGAAAAATAAATCAATGCAATAATTCCACATACAGAATAAAGGGGAAAATCATGAGTATCTTAATAGATACAGAATAATGACGAAATGATAGAATTCTACACTCATGATAAAAACACTCAGCAACCTTAGGAACTGATGGGACCTTTATATTTTCCTCAAGAATACCTAGAGAAAATCTATAGCAAACATCATTTTAGGGGATAAAATACTGAAAACTTTCCCCTTGTGAGTGGGAACATTATTGCCACTTTTATTCAACATTATCTGGAGGTGCTAAGATAAGAAAGGCTTAAGGATGAGAAAAAGCAACGATTACTTCAGTGTTCACACACAGCATGTCTGGGGTCAAAGCACAGTCAAACAGTTTATACTATTTCTGTTTGCCTCAATTTTTCTCAAAACAAACAATTTCTCAAAACAACCATAGTTTCTCAAAACAACACAAAACACGTGTTCTTTTTACACAGACAACTAATTTCTTTCCTATTCTATTAACTCTCTTATACCTACACAGGGTCAATATGACATTCCACTGACAACCATGTACTATGTGTAACCATTACTTCTTGCTTATAAATATTCACACAACTTAAAATATAAAATCAAGAATTCAACTCTCTGATAGCCAAGATTATCTTGCAGTACTCCTCCTATACCAGGGCCCTGGCTCAGGGTAGAAGCATTTTGTATTCTTTCTTTTCCTTTCTTTGAGTGCCAAATAATCTATTTCTTCTCCAAACCCCACCTAAAAAGGCCAATTCTGAGTATCTTGGGGCTCAAGGGTAACTAAGGCCTCCACAGAAAGCTGTGACGGCTAACTAGTATGAGAGGAGATGGGTAAGGGCAACCAAATAGAGAAAAGTCAGTGACAATAAGTATCAATTGGTCTTGGTCCTGACTTGGGCAGGGTCACAGCAGAGAAGCTGAGGAGGAAGGGCAGAAGAAAGGACCTTAAGTTAGGAAAGACACTGCTTGGAACATCATATATAAATGTACATACACATGCCACACACACACTCACATGTATTTCTGGGGGGACAAGGGGAGGAGAGGGGGGGAAGATAAGAGTAGCCCACATCTTTTATTTGTAGGGTTAATATCCTTTTCTTTCTTTTTATTCTAAGTTCCCACACACCACAACTGTCCTACTCTGTACTGCTGTACTACTCTAGGTGTGGGAGGTTGGGTTCTACCTCCAAATACCAGACACTGTTCCCTAAACCCAAAGAATAAATAGGCTGAAGATGCTTCCTACTTCCTGAGGCTCCAGTAAGTTAAACCCAAGTAATCCCGTAATGATCCAGGACACACACAGACTGGTCCTGGCAGTCAGTCTCTAGGAACATCTGGAGAAAGAAAAATCACTTTCTGTAGGCACATAATCTACTCTAGCATCTAGTTCTTTTTTTACAGGACCAGTCAAAAGAATGCTGATCTTTCACCACATAGGTGTGAGGGTGCTAAAAGTAACCAAAGACACAATGTACTTCTCCAAACTTCTACTGAAGATCATCCAGTTTTCAAGGAGATATTTTTACTACTACAGCCACACACTCATGCAACTTAAAGAAAGCTCTGAATTAATTTAAAATAGTGGATATGAATGAGGCACTCTAACAGTTAAAACAAGCCTTTGAATTAGACCTATGTCCAAATCCAATTTACTAGCCACGTGACCTTAGGCAAGTTAGTTCTCAACTATAAATCTCACTTCCTTCATCTGTGAATTAATAATAATAATAATAACCTGTTTCATAGGGTCAAGGATTAAATGAAGTAATGGACTTAAAGTACTAGTCATCTGCTTTTGATAAACTGTAGCTACACTTACAGACAATGAGCACCAAGCTATGTAGACATACATTAAACGAAACAGGTGACAAAATTTAAACAGGTTCTTTATGTTAATAACAGAGACTTTACCAGAGTTGTATACCTTGATATTGTGAAGGGCTTTGAAAGTTAATGGTATTGTGTCGAGCAACGCCCAAAACACAAGTGTGATAAACAGGTATTTACAATTCATTTGGCTCATGCAATTCTAAATATTTCAAATTATAAATACAGTTAATTAAAATACTTGATTTACATGCTTCAAAAGTTCACTGATTATTAAACTTGCAATTACCTGTCACTGAAAAAGCCAAATCCATAACCATATCATGGTGCCAATGTAGACATGTGTATGTGTATTTCTTTTCATCATCAAAATTCCTCCTATTGGAGAAAACCAAAATTTTTAATTTCACCAAAGGCATGAATTAGAAAAATAATGGCATACCAAATATAATGAACATAATATATGCCCAAAATAAGAAACAGTGGTATCAAGCTTACGGATTTTAATGTCCAAAAAGTACATTCAGTACATTTTCTATTTCTAACTGGAGTCACTTCTATAAACAGGCCATCCTGGTGTCCTACTATTTAGATATTCCCTACTGTCACTCTTCCTTTTTTACTTAAAGGCTGACAAAAAGTTCTCTTCCACACAATGACTATAAGCAAAATGGAAATTTCCACTCCCCCTGAAATAGTAAGTCTATGCAATGAAGAACACAGAAATACAAGAAAGGAAGGATGTCAGTCAAGCCTCATCTCTAATGCGCCAGCAGTGGCTTTTCAGTGCTATCCTTTATCCTGGCCCCAGAGACAGCCTTGCTCTGCAGCAGTAATATAAAACAATACAGAAACCATCACCGTGCTCTTCATGAGTTAACTGACCAAAGACGAATTTTGCCATCCTTGTGACCAGTTGCTATGCAATCTTCCTTTGGGTGACATGCTATACATGTAAAATTGTTCTTAGCATGTTTCCTATTTCTTGATGATGACAAAGTAAACCTAAAAGAAAACAAAATTTTCTTGATTATTAGTCTTTTGCTTAAGAAGTGATGTAGTTAGGTAAAAGGGATTTCTCACCCTTATCAATCAAAACAGGAGAGCTCTCAGAATTCACTGAATATAAATGCAGGATTTTAAAAAAAACCTATGATGAAGAATTAAGAATTTTGTTTTGTAAACATTTATTAATATACAATGTATAGTTAATGTAACTTTCTACCATAACAACTTGTTTACAGAGGCCACTGACATTGAAATAAAGAAAAACAAATGCTAATACTGACATGGTAAAAGGGAAGAGGGGAGTGTCATCTGAAGGGTGACTATTCATGCTTAGCACTAGTCTCTTTTAAAAACTATTTTATTTTACTGATTTTAAAGAGAGAGAAGGGAGAGATGGGGAGAAAGAAACATTGATTTGTTGTTTCACTTATTCACACATTCACTGGTTGATCCTTGTGCCCTGACCAGGGATCAAACCTGCAACCTTGGTGTATCAGGACAATGCTCTAACCAACTGAGCTACCAGGCCAGGGCAGCACTAGTCTCCTTAAATATGTTATCTCATTCATCTTTACAACTCGATTAGGAAGATATTATCCCCATTAAAAATATGTTAATTTGAGATACAGCAAAATTCATATGGACTAATTTTGACTCATTTTAAACCCAGGTATCCCAAAGCCTATATTCACTTCTACAGCTGTAATATGGCAATGAAGATTATTTTGGGAAGCTTTTCAAACCAAATCCAATTCTGACACAAATATGCACACTAGAATATTGGTGTATAAGGGGTTTTGGCTAGAAGCAGCTCCCCAGCATTTTGAGACTAAGGATCACTCAACCCCACCCATTGTGGGTTAAAAACTGGAATCTAAAAAATCAAACAAAACAGGAACAAACTCATAGGTACAGAGAACAAACTGATGGTTGCCAGGTGGGAGGAGGGTTAGTAGGCTGAGGCTGGGTGAAAAAGGTAAAGGGATTAAAAAGTACAAATTGGTAGTTATAAAACAGTCATGGGGATGTAAAATACAGTATAGGGAATACAGTCAATAATATTGTAATAACTATGTATGGTGTCAGGTGGGTACTAGATTTATCAGGGGTGGGTATTAGACTTCAGAAGTTACATAAATGTCTAATCACTATGCAGAACACCTGAAACTAATATATGTCAACTGTAATTAAAAAATAAGAATAATTTTAAAAAACTGTGGCAGATAGTACCATTTGTCTTACAAGGCCATGTCATAGATCAAATAAAGAAAATGTAAGTCAAAGTCTCCATAAGCCATAAAGTACAAAATATAGTATTGTAATTAATAGTTAAATGTGTTACTAGGTATCAGGCAAAAAACCAACAAAAACAAAAACAAAAACCCCATAAAAATAAACAAAACAGAAAAAAACCCTCCAGACCAAATCTACCTCTATATCTTGTGGTTTCACAATCATCTGTAACATGAAACTAGTAACAGCTTTAGATCCCAAGTATGAGAATGAAATAAAAAACTCTCGAGTAAATAAAATAAACTACTAAAAAGGAATTCTTACCTTGATGTTTTTTTCTTTTTGAAAAAATAAACAGACAAGTAAAAGTCCCGCACTGCAGCAACATATTCTCCCTAGTATTTCAAAGAGAAGATAACATTCACAAAAACAGTCAACACTCTTGAAGAAATATTCTCATCACAAAAATTAACATAGTAACAATAATTTTTTTGCAGATTAACAGTATACTAATATAAAACAAAATATTATAGTTTAGCTATAAATAGGATAATCTTACTTTAAAAATAATCATAGAAAATTAAAAGAACGTAAGTCCTAAATCCTAAAATTAGGCTACCTAGCTGTAGGTATAAAAGGCAAGTACTATATGATTTCACTTCTATGTGGGATCTAATGAACAAAATAAACTAATAAACAAGATAGAAAGAGGCTAACAGATACAGAGAACTGACAGCTGTCGGAGAAGAGGGGGTTTGGGGAGCTAGGTGAAAAGGTAAAAGGAATAAGCAAAAAAATAAAAAACTCAGACACAGAAATGGCAATTACAAGAGGGAAAGGGGTGTAGGAGGAGGTAGGAGAGAGTAAAGGGGGGATAAATCGTGATGGAAGGAGACATGACTTGGGGCGGTGAATACACAATTCAATATACAGACGATGTATTATAGAATTGTACAACTGAAACCTATATAATTTTATTAACCAATGTCACCCTAATAAATTCAATACAAATGATTTAAATTTTTTCATTAAGGCATAATTTACATACAATAAAATGCAATGTTTCACATATGTGTTTATCCATGTTAGAACATTTTCTTCACCTCTGGAATGTCCCTTGTTACTCTTTAAAGTTATTCCCCAATGCCCTTACCTTTGCCAGCAACTACTTATTTCTATAACCATTTCTCTGTTCTAGAACACCATACAAACAGAATGGTACAGTAAATATTTTTTTATGCCTGAACTCTTTGCTCAACATCACCTTTTATAGATTCACCCAGGCTCTTATATATACCATCAGTTCCTTTTTATTATAAAGCAGCATTCCAATGGATGAATATACTATATATATTTTCTTACTGATGAACATTTGGGTTATTTCCATTTTGGAGCTATGATGAATATTAATCATTCTTGTACATGTCATTCTGTGGTCATGTTCTCATTTCTCTACCAAGGAGTGGAACCGCTGGGCCACTGTAAAAGTATGTTTAACTTTGCTCCCTATCTTACCAATACTCAGTATTGTCAATCTTTTAATTTTAGCTGTTTTAGTGAAGTGGTATGCCACTGTGATTTTACTTTACATTTAAATGATGACTATAGGGCTAAAGACATATTTTCATAATCTTTCTTGAAAAGAGTTTTCTCTACTCTAAGAAATTAACCCTTTTCAGAACAAAGCCAAAATAATGCCGTAAAACTTGAAGACTAAAGAAGCATGCCGCCACAAAAACGTCTAGGGCCTTTTGGTGGTACTCAATTTTAATAAAGTGATTATTAATAGGTGATGGCTAAATAAATCATGGTATGACCATCACAGTCATTATTTCTGATGAATATTTACGCACATGCTGCAATGTTAAGTAAAAAAAAGGATAAGAAGCTGTGAGATACTAATTCAGTTTGGGAAAAGTTATATATATATGTTTGGGAAAAAGTCTAGAGATTCCTCACATTATCACTGGTGAGATGTAATTTCTTCATTATTTTCCTATAATTTCCAAGTTTCCTACAATGGGCATAAATATAGAGAGGGAAGTAATATTTTCTAAAAACAGTCTAAAATGAGAAGATATAAGTGGCTTTTACATGGGGCACACTAAGATACAGTGCAAATGCCAAAAACATTGATTATATTTTGGACAATTAGAGAGTTCGCAAGAGCAATAAAAGAGAATAGACAAAATTAGGATGGTCCTAAAAATCTATACCATAAATACATGCTAAAGCAATGAAACAGACTTCTTTGCTACTAACAAAAATATGTAGCTCAAGGCAACATTAAATCACTATGAAGTAAAATGCTGAAAGACTGCAGGAGAAATTGTATGTACAAAAAAGAAAAGCAACAAAAGAAATTCTACCTCATTTCCGAAGGCAATGCACTTGGGTGACTGGTCTATATAATCCAAAACAAGGGAGGGCTCCTCAGCTTCTACTTCCTGGCTTGACGATTTGGGCAGTTTCACTGAAACCAGCTGAAATACATCTAGCCAAAGGAAGCTATATTAATATAAAACTTCTCTAGAGAAAGTGAAGATGAATATTTATTCATATGAAACTCTTAACCAGTACTCTAGAATTCATTTGATGCCAAGATAATGATTCTAGGCCAACTTGAACAAAATGTATCTTAAAGTTGGATTCCTTGTGTGAATATACAAGTGTTAAATAGAAGTCAATTTCCACAGCTCATATACATACATGCTCTATATATGTAGAAATAGAAAACCACTCTACATTTCAAAGTACTAAGCTGAGCTTTAAAATGGAGACAGAATATGATATATTGGTGAACAGTCAAAAGCAAGAAACCATTCCAGTTTTTAGAAATGCTATGGGCTTGCCACACATTCATAGAATAAGTCTCCTTTTCTGTAATACTGACATGCTTCTCCTCTTTACATGCCATTTAAAAAATTCCTCCCTGAGGGGAAACAGCTGTATTTTACTACACTATCTCTTTACTCTCCCAGACTTTATAATGAATGTAACATTCTGTAACACACTGGTCTACCATTTTCCTGTTTTCCAGCCAGCTTATTGTATGCTTTGAATTCTTGATTGTTCCAGCCTTCTCAACCATCTCAAACTTTACATGCCCAAACCCTGAACTCTTGATTTTCCTTTCTAAAATTAGTCTTCCCTTACATGCCTGCTGCAGGAAATGGAACCACCATTTACCCAGTTGTTTAGACTAAATCTTTGAGTCCTCTTTGACTTCTCTATCATATCCCATATTAAACCATCAGCAAACCCTGTTTGGCTGTATCTTCAAAAGATATCCAGAATTCAATAATTTCTCACCACCTCTGCCACTACCACCTAGTCTAAAGCCACGATCGTGTTTCATATTGTGTTTGAAGCAATGACAGTTCTTCCTATTTCCAGCTTTGTTCCCCTTTAGTATTCTCAACACAGAGCCAGTGATATTACTACTAAGTCAGATCATATGATTCTGCTCAAAACCCTTCAATGGTTTTTTATCTACTCAGAGTAAAAGCCAGTCCTTCCAATGGCTACAAGGCTCTATATTATCTATTTTACCTTGGCTCACTCCAATCCAGCCTCCTGCTATGCCTCAAACATGCCAGAAATGCTATAGAATATGCTTCTCAAATATAGCTACACAGCTTAATCTCTTCCCAGGACCTTCACTGAGCACTGGGTTGAAATCTCGTGTATAACCTGGTTCTCCAAAAACTTAATGCACTACTGTTGACAGAAAGCCTTACTGGTAACATAAGCAATGAACATATTTTGTATGTTATATGTATTATATACTGTATTCTTACAATAAAGCTAGAGAAAAGGGAATGTTAAGAAAATCGTAAGAAACAGAAATACATTTATAGTATTTATTGAAAAAAATCTGTGCATAAGTGGACTCGCGCAGTTCAAACTCGTGTTGTTCATGGGTCAACCGTATATTTTGAGAATCCAATTACATGAAATCTTTTAAAGCCTGATTCATTTTTATGTAATAGATAGATTTACACATGCTGAGTGCTCATGATGTGCTAAAGTAATGGAGAGTGACATTAAACCCCACCAGGAACAGAATTCAGATTATAGCATGTAAGTTTCCATAGTTAACTTCAAAAGGCTAATGACCAAGATCTTTACTTTAGATCAGTAGTTTGCTACCTTGGCTTACACAACAAGAGTCTCAACTGGGAAATATTTAAGCAAACAAATAGGCTCCACCATAGAGAATCTTACATTTTAAGTTCCTTGGGATGATTCCAATGTGCAATCAATGTTAAGGATCAATGGCCTCACTGATATAGATAAAAAGTTGTTTCTGCTATTGGCAACTACTCTTCCAATTAAGGAATCATGGGGTGAGTATGAAGAGTGGTTACCAAATACGAGTGATGAGCAGAATCACCTGGGAGGTTACTAAAATTGCAGATTCCTAGACTAAATCTCAGATACAGTGGATCAATTGTCAGCCAGGGAGGATAGGAATCTGATTTTTTCATAAGCATGTGGATAGACATTAAGAATACACACATACACACACACATATATATATATATATCCCAGAACATAAATATTGGAGAGTGTTATCTTTAAAGTAGTCATTTGGGAAGGCAACTTATTTTAGAATGTTGCCATTTCCAGAACATTTTGGAATATCCTTTAGAGATGGTTTATGAGCTACATAAGAAAAACTAAACTTACCATGTTTTGTTCTTTAATGTAATATTTTGATAGATAAAATATTATTCACTAACAGATTTGGCACCAAATGAATTTTAGCTAAAAAAAAAAGTTTAGTTGTCACAGTTTAGACTATTCTCAGATTACTTAAAAGTCCATGATATATTAACAATTTACATGTTTGTTCCAGTCTTCCCCCACCCCAAGAAAAACCCAAACCCAAAATATAGAACCTGGAAAGGATTCACTTAGCTAGTAAGTTGTGAGCCAATCTAGCTGACTTTCCAGTAACCACCTCAAAGCTGCTTTGTATTTTTACAATATTTTACAAAACATGGTGCAGTGGTATTCTTGAATTTGAGAAACTGTAAAATGTGAAGAGCCACTGAAAGCTATATAAAACAAAATAAAATTAATTAAACTATACCTGGTTTTTCTTTATTTATTATAACAAAGACAGAATCCTCAATATGGATATGAGCAAAGAAGGCATGAAGTTTATGTCCAACTATGAAAGTCTGAAAGATAAAAAGCACCATATTATCGACTATCCTCCCCATCTACCTCTACCAGTCCACCCCAAGACATAAGTTCCATAAAGGGCAAGGATTTTTATCTACTTTGTTCACTAGTGTATCTTCAACATTAGAAGAGTACCTGGCATACAGAAGATACTCAATACATATTTATTAAATAACCTTTCAAGTTAATACATACAGATCCAGCTATTTATTTTTAATGGTTGTATGGTATTCTATTGAATGAATATCAAATTTTAACTGGCATTAAGCTTATGTTCAATTTTTTTCCCTACCATAAAGAATGCTTTAATGACTACATATACATGCCATTATTTCATCAAGAGATTCCTAAAGGTGAGATTAGTGGAGCAAAGACATTTTCAGTTTTATTCTAATTGTGTTCAAAAGTATGTTTCTCTACATTTTTCCTATCACTAGATTTTCTTTCAGTCTTCAATTTGGCTAAACTATCGGGAAAAATGCTACATCATCTGTTTTAATTCACATTTCTTTATTTATTAATGAGGTTAAGCATCTCTTTGTTTACTGGATAGCTCTTGCAAATATTATCTTCCAGTTTTATTGCTCATTTCTTGTTAGAAGTTTAAAATTTTTATATAGTCAAATTTGTCTTTTATGGTGTTTGAATTTCACGACTTCTTTAGAAATGCTATTGAAGGATTAGGCCTTACAGAAGGTATTAAATCTGTCATTAAATTATGTTGCCATGCCTTTTCCCATAATAAAAATGGAAGATTAATCCACATACCTTTATCAAAATGCCATCTAGATAGTCCCACAGTTTAATTGTGCCATCAAAGGAACAAGAATACAGCTAAAAGGGGAAAAACAGTTCAAAACTGATTAAAAAATAGAACTCCATTAAGATATCAAATGAATTAAATACTAATACTGAGGGCATTTTGTTTATTAATTCATTATTTGCCTTAGAAAAGTAGAGTCATTTGTTTATATTGATTTTGCAAAATTTATATTGTTTGTGACAATCTTATCACAGCTCTTTGGAGGAAGCAGATCCATCAATTTAAAGTTTTAATTAAAATGAGAGGGGAAAAGGTCAACCCTGTCTTCAAGAGGGAGACAGTAAGAATTGACATAAAAAGCACTTACAAGTTGTTGCTATTTTCCTTTTTTATTAGCAGAACTGCTTTCATCTTGCATGGGTAATAAGGGAGTGCTTCCAAAATGATCTGACAATGTTCCGTTTTCAAAAAAAATTTTTGTGTGGGCTGTAACCCTATTTTAATAATTTTTTAAAAAAAGGTGAAGCTCTGGCCGGTGTGGCTCAGTTGGTTGGAGCATTGTCCTGTACACTGAAAGTTGGCAGGTTTGATTCCCAGTCAGGGCAAATACCTGGGTTGTGGGTTCAACCCCTGGTTGGGGCCCGTATGGGAGGCAAGTGATTGATGTTTTTCTCTTACATCAATGTTTCTCTCTCTCTCTCCCCCCCTTCCTCTCTGTAAAATCAATAAAAAGCATATCCTTAGGTGAGGGGAAAAAAAAAGTTTAAAAATAAAGAAATAAATAAAAATAAGTGAAAAATATCCTGAATCAGAAAATCAACATAGTTCTTTCCTTGATCATAACCTGGACAGTTTCCAGTCAAATTCAATTCAAATTTCTTTGGTAACAATAAAGCCAATATTAAAAGATGCAATTATAAATTGTTTAACACCTGTAGATGATTGTTGGGGTTGAGCTGGATTCCCGTCACCAGATTTCTGTGTCCTTGCAATACGTGTACACATTCTTCTGTAGCTGTGCTATAAACTTTAACAAAGTCTCCAGAGACACAGAAGATATACCTAGAAATAAGAGATAAAAATAAGTTTCATACTCTACAGAAAATCAAAACTCCTTATTGTCCATGTTTCTTTCAAAACAGCTTAAAAACTGTATATTCAAATTTGTGTGCTTGTTTAAGTCTATGAGGGGACATCCAAGACTGATTAGTTCATTAAACTCGGAAAAGCATATTAATGAGGACAAAGTACTGCCTGTGACAGGTTCCATGGGCAGAGGCTTTATGGAACCACTAGCAGTGCTGATTTAATCAAGCTGTCTGTTCACTAATGGATGCAAACACTACGCTATGCATTCACTTACTATTAGCTCTTACTCTTTAATGGTTCTGCTAACAGTAGCATGTCCCCATGCCCAACTTTCCATTGTTCACTGGGGATGCCAGCTTACAAACACTAAGTCAAAGGTTCTCTCTAGTCAGTGAGGTCTTTTCTACAGCAAAGCACAAAGACATTACAACAGTCCTTTTCTTGTTAAAATGCTGGTTTTGCTTGTTGTCTTTCTGGATTTTGGCTTTCTTCCATATAGCAGAGGCTACTAAATTACTAAGAGTTGTGAAAGTTGGGATAATACTTGACTATTTTCATAATAGATATAACCATAGGACAAATCTCAGAAATGCAAATCTTCCAGTATCTATCAAATAAAAAAAAAAGTTTGCTCTGTGCCTGTTACATTTAACACTGCACATGTCTAACACAGTGTTTTTCCATACACTGTAGAAGGTACAAATCACAGAATCCTTTGTAATTCCAAAGTACTATGTATAACTTGATCCTGGTATTTTCACATTGTGTTGAAATTACTTGTTTACATATATATATATATA